AGACACCCCTCGTCCCCAATTCCCTCCCCAATACAGCCGTCGATCCCACCTCCACCTCCGAGACACCCCTCGTCCCCAATCCCCTCCCCAAGACAGCCGTCGATCCTACCGCTCCTTCTCCACAGTCCTCGTCTTTAGAGATTAAAGTTGATCGTCAAAGACGACCAAGACGTGCTATTGTAAGTCTATATCTACCCGCTACAGACGGTATGCCAGAATGGAGCGCGCGTTTGATCAGTTCATCGCATCCGAAACCACAGACAATGAAAAGTAAGTACATCCAAAAGATCTTTTATGTGGTTATATTATAAAAAAAATAACTTTTTATTATATTATTTAATAGGAGGAATGTCGGTGTTTTATATGAAGTGGGTCGGGACTGGTTTCAGCTGTTGGTTAATCCGAATGAAATGATGTTGGACGAGGTATGCATATGTTTGTCTTGTAATATCTTAACATATTAAAATGAATTGATGGATGATGTTTGGTTTGATTTTATAAAACAATACTGAATGCATACTTGGGAATTATGCAAAGCAATCCACACTTTTTGGGGTTGTAGCCACCGATGAAGATGTTGGGCACTTATACCATCGTGTCGACTACGTTTTTTGTGAGATTATTTTAATCTTTTCTCTTTTCCTCGTCATTCCATTTTTATTAATAATTATATTAATAACATTATTATTTATTATTGTTGTATTTTATATAGTTGATGCTGGAGGAATTGGATAAGGATATCGATAAGGGGGAGTGGACCCGGCCTCAGAGACCCTCCAATCTTGGATTCGCGTTGCGAATGAGGGGTCAGCGGTTGGGGGAATCCGTGTCCTTGGAGGGGGATTCAATCTGTAAGTTTTCAATGATTCTGAATCAATTAATATTGCAATCTTTCCTAAAAAATTAGTGAATTTCTCACAACTCAATGCAACAGATTATTGGAGTTGTGAATTTGTCTCAGCACTACGTAACTGTCCAGATCTGTTTACGCGAGGGGACGATACGTGTGTTTGACCCCCTACAACATACGTATTAATAAAAGAATGAGCACATTCGCGAATCACGCATCAAAGCACCCCAAAACATCCAAAAAGAAATTCCACTGATTGACACGTATGCGGGAGTAGATGGAGTGAGAGAAAATTTTGAATTGAAATTCATGGAGCCCAAAAATACTACCTTGCAACATGACATAATTTTTTGTGGTGTATGCGTTGTGGAGATTGTAAGAGCATTGCTAACGGGGACGATTCTCAGAGCCAAGTTTAACAAGAAGTGGGCTGAGAAAATGAGGCGCAAATTGGCTATGGAAAATTTTGAGTTTAGTAAAGATGGAGACACAGTTCCTGCCCCAAATTATTAATGACTCATGTAATATATTTTTTTAGCATTTTATTACATTTTTCTTGTTTGTTGCATTTTGTTGTTTCTTGTATGTATGTATGTATGTATGTATGCATGAGAATATATTCTCATACATGAAAGATAAAAATTAAACTAAATTAAACAATTAAAGATGAAAGAAATAAAAAATAAACTTTCGAGTAAAGGGGGTATGCGAGCAATATGCGGTAATTCGCATACCCCCTCGCATAACTGAAAAATGAAATAAATAAAAAATAAAGTTTCGAGTAGAAGTGCGAAAGGTGGTTGTATGCGAGCAATATGCGGCAATTCGCATAACCCTTCGCATAATTGAAAGATGAAAGAAATAAAAAACAAACTTTCGAGTAGAAGTGTGAAAGGGGTAGTATGCGAGCAATATGCGGCAATTTGCATACCCCCTAGCATAACTGAAAGATGAAATAAATAAAAAATAAGCTTTCGAGTGAAAGTGCGAAAGGGGGTAATATGCGAGCAATATGCGGCAATTCGCATACCCCCTCGTATAAGTGGAAAATGAAAAAAAATAAAAAAATAACTTTCGAATAGAAGTGCGAAGGGGGTATGCGATTTCGCATACCCCCTTCACATACCCTAAACCTTAAACCAATATTATATCTCATGATATAATATAATATATTCTTTAAATTACCATTCATAATATATAAATGAACATTGTTATAATTTTTAATAAGTGACTTTATTCTATTATCACTTTGAAACATAATCACATTAACAATATTTATCTACATACCTTAACTCATAATCTACATTTTATCTAAGACTAGCTTGAACATTATTATATTTTTTAATAAGTGGTTTTCTTCTATTGTCACTTTCAAACATAATCATATTAAACAATATTTATCTATATACCTTAATTCATATTCCACATTTTATCTAAGATTGAGCTTGAACATTATTATATTTTTTAATAAGTGGTTTTCTTCTATTGTCCCTTTCAAACATAATCACATTAAACAATATTTATCTATATATACCTTTACTCATAATCACATTTTATCTAAGATTTAGCTTGAACAATATTATAGTTTTTAATAAGTGGTTTTCTTCGATTGTCACTTTTTATAAACATAATCACATTAAACAAAATTTATCTATATACCTTAACTCATAATCCACATTTTATCTCAGACTGAGCTTGAACATTATTATATTTTTTAATAAGTGGTTTTCTTCTATTGTCACTTTCAAACATAATCACATTAAACAATATTTATCTATATACCTTAACTCCTAATTCACATTTTATCTAAGATTGAGATTGAACATTATTATATTTATTAATAAGTGGCTTTCTTCTATTATCACTTTCAAACATAATCATCACATTAACAATATTTATCTATATATCTTAACTCATAATCCACATTTTATCTAAGATTGGGCTAGATCATTATTATATTTTTAATAAGTGGTTTTCTTTTATTGTCACTTTCAAACATAATTACAGTAAACAATATTTATCTATATACCTTAACTCCTAATCCACATTTTATCTAAGATTGAGCTTGAACATTGTTATATTTTTTAATAAGTGGCTTTCTTCTATTGTCACTTTCAAACATAATCACATTAAACAATATTTATCTATATACATTAACTCATAATCCACATTTTATCTAAGATTGAGATTGAACATTATTATATTTTTTAATAAGTGACTTTCTTCTATTATCACTTTCAAACATAATCATCACATTAACAATATTTATCTATATATCTTAACTCGAATCCACATTTTATCTAAAATTGAGCTTGAACATTATAATATTTTTAAATAAGTAGCTTTCTTCTATTATCAGTTTCAAACATAATCACATTAACAATATTTATCTATATATCTTAACTCCTAATCAACATTTTATCTAAGATTGAGCTTGAAAATTATTATTAATACAAGTATCGCACCCTGACCGGCTGAAAATCGCCTTAAGCCTGCTCTCCTCGCCGGTTGAACGCGGAACCTGCACGAAAGTCCCACACCGGAGGTGTTTTCCATTGAAGAGCCTCCAACGCTCAAGTCAGATCTTGAGAGATAATATGAGTGTATGAAAAAGTATAAGAGTGTATCAGATTATACCGAAAATGAGGATTCTCGCCCTTATTTATAAGGGCGAGTTACCTGAGCTGCACGCGCGAGCAAGGCGAGTTCGGCTAATTGTCTTCTGCTCGTCCGTACAGCCGCGCGCCTCCACTATCCTCGGTGTCAGAAAACGCGTCGCCTTTGTCAGAGAATGTCAGAGTTGGTTACGGCTGTTGACCACTCATAGTCCGCCGCGTGTCCTCTTCCTTA